TTTGAGAGGAGACATAGTAGCAAATAAAAAAAGCAATTCCTGTGTGCATAATAAAGACTTGAAAGAGTTTGGAAGGCTTCTTTGCACTCACATGAAGTTGAGTGTTCAAGCTTTATACTGTACCTAATTTTGCTTTTGGACAGCTAATCATTGGTGTTTATTTTTCCATTGCTGAAGAAAATACACAGTTACATACTTATCACTTTCAGGATCAACCTGAATATATTCGGGGCTATCAATCATGTTCAGTAGACCAACCTCAGACATACTGTTTCCAGTTCAAATTTTCTTTACATCATTCCTGAATACACCAACATTATATTATATTCTCTGAACATTTGAACTTTCATGCCCACTCAAAAAATATAAGTTGAAGAGGTATAAAACTTTTTTTCCAGAAAACCTTAAGAGAACAAGAAAAATAGTAACATCTGAAATACTAACTAAAATAATCTGATGTGTTAGTATTCGAAAAATGTGAATGTAAAATGGTCAAATAGTAATGGGCTAAGATAAATTAAGAATGTTTCTTTGAAAAGGCAGTCAAAGTTAACATGATACCAGTACAGTACATTACATTATGCACAATTCATTTTTAAAACATTATTGTACAAGACCACAATTCTGTTAAGAATACTGATTGATGGCTATGTCAGCCATTGTTTTTGTAGACTTTGTATTATAACATTTCTCACATGTGATCTTTTGGAAATTAATGCTCAAGAATTTGGAGTTGATTTGAAATAATAACAACAAAGTTGTGATGTGCCTGAAATGGTAAACAGCATGTTCTAGGTCTCATAACGTGGATTTCTAAAAATAATAATGGCAAGTTTTGTGTGATATAGAACACAAATAATTTAAAGGGGAAGTGTGTCAAAGGCAGCAGTGAATGACTGTCCTACCCCATCCTACAGCATTCCTGAGTACAGGAGTATGTGCGTGCTTCACCTATGGCCGAGCACATTTCCTTATTATTTATGCTCATAAAATCTGCTTATGACAAAAAGCCAAGAGTGATACCAACACATAGACATTAAATTTCTGATGATGTCAGTTCAAGTCTTGTATTTTACAACAGTTTGGTCCCATGTTATATCTAATCAACCATTGTCATCTCATAAAGTAATCTTCTTTAACAGACCTAATATAAACACTTTTCCCTGTCTCAAGATCAGCTGAAAACTGGAGAATTCTGTTCAGTTGTGATTCACATAGGCTTTACATTTCTCTTTTCATTTCAATCCATATCATATGTTTAATATGAAGATAGTAATTGATTCATGTTTCAAATAATATTAACTTTTTCTGGTTCATTATTGTTGCCTGCAAGCAGTGTTCAACAGTGTAACTCAGAAATCCCAGCACTAATAATGCAGATGATGCTATTAAAAATTAATGCAACATTTCACCCCAAGAAAGTAAAAAAATTGTTTCCAGTACATAGGCTTACATGTTTCTGTTGTTGATCATGCAACAACACACAAACTGATTGTTCAGGCTTATGATATAGGCAGTGTACATACTCGTACAATATTGTGGATTTGTAGCGGGGCTGAAATATCAGTTCAAAAAGATGGTGTCATAATATTCAAGCCTTCTGAAAAGAAACGTAATCTGCAGAAACAAGTTATGAACATCCATGACTTTGAAAAAGCTGTTCTATATAAAATTGTTTTCAGATTTTTATGAGGGAGAATTTCCCATTCAGAGAAACTCACTTTTCAATTTAGAGACAAATAAATTGTAGTAGTTCTGTATCATGAACGTATAGAATTTTTAAAAGCACCGGGTTAAAATGTAGGAAAGTCAGTGATGGATGAAAATTCCTCATGAAAAGAGGACTTATTGTGGCTGCTTGAAATAAGTTCTTTATGGTAGTCACAGCCTCACAATTTCAGGAGATAAGCACAATGCTTTCTATTTAAATGAAACATGGGTTTGCCAAAACCATTTAAGAAACATACGTGACAGAACTCACGGAGAAGTGGAGAACTGGAAGTTCCTTACTGTGTGTGATCCAGGATCAGCAAGAACAGGCCCTGTTTCAAGTAGCAAGGTGACTTTTTCACACATGTGAGGCTCAGATTATAATTTGGAGATCAACACTGACAGCTTTAAAGATGACTTTTTAAATAGCGATCGAAATTACCTTTCAGGAATCCATCATAATTATAAACAGCGCCAGCTATCACTCTACCATCACAGAGTCCCTAACACAGGGTTTTATAAAAGACATATTACAGAATGAGTGCAAAAGAATTATATTGACTATAACTCCAGAGAACCCATACTTGAGTTACTCTTTTGCATTTTGCCACATAAGCATCTAGAAAAGGTGTATGAACTAGACCAGACAAGGAATAAAACAGGTCACCTTATAAGCAGATTACTTCCTTAAGATTGTCAATATAACTGACTGAACTGATATGGACAAAAGTGAAGGGAGAAGTAGCCCAAATCAGCAACATTTTTATACTGTAAAATACTGAGACTAATAATGAAATTAACAGGGTCACTACAGACTGGGTTTCATGTATTCCACACTCAGAACAATTAAGCTATACAACATATCACCATAAATTTAAAAAATTAATTTCAAGGCTCAGAAATAAGTGACAGGGAGGGTGAATGGGATGATGGTAATAATGAGCCATTGGCTGCTCCAATATTGTAATTTTGTTGTTTTGTGATTATCTATCAAGACATTCTGTCAGCAGTTATAACAGCTTCAAGAACTTGAATAAAGGTAAATCTTTAAATCTGCATTAAACTGCTTGCTTAACATTACATGTTTTTGGTAACAGTACTCTCTGTTTGTGTGTATGAATATTCATAATTCATCTCTCCTTTGTCACCACCCAGCAAGTGTCAGGCAACACTGCCATTTGCCACCATATGCCTTTAAATTTTGCAGCTAGGCTAAACGTATAGCCTTTTACAAGAATTGCTGGTTATATCTGCATGACACATCACCTACAGGACAGGCCCTAAAGTCAAATAAAATCCTTAGGAAAATAATACTATTATACCGTCAATTTGTAGGCAAAGGATCTCTTGTTCACATTCCTACATGTCTAACTGACTACATGGAGCAGAGTACTTTTCAGAAGTGAATAATCACTCTGATTAGCTAGTCAAGAAATTCCTCAAATATTCTGTAACCCAAAGTATCTTTTACATGTTCACAAGATCCTTCCACTGGACCCTACCTGAGCTAGTTAAATCTAGTCTGCATCTTCTCACTTAATTTCTTTGGAGTTCATTTTAATATTATCCTCCCATTTATATCTATGTCTCCCATGTAGTCTCCTTCAGCTAGATTCTCCAACTAGAAGTTTTATACACATCTCATAATTTTATGCTTTAGAATTATTTATATGTTATATAGTATTTTTTTTTAAACAATGTTCTGCCCTATTTTTTCAGTAGTCCCTGTATGAGGGAACAGCAGTCTGTAACTGCTATGCAGTGTTTCACTGGCCATAATATGTGCAGTTACATTAGTTATAGTGTGTGTATATCTGTTTCTTGGTATGTCACAAATGCATGAATTATCTTTCACAACCCTTCAAAAGGTCATACCACCCACTATCTGAGAAATATACATTCAACATTCGATTATCCGGGGGCAGATAAACCGGTTTTCGGCTTAACCAGGGCTTCTTTGAGGCTTATATGTTGTTTAATATTCATTCACTTTTGTTTCACATGGTGACTTGTAACACTATTTTCGTACTAGTGTGAACTGAGCTCTGCATTTTTTGGTCCCGTTATGTTAACACAATGTTCTAGGGTAGGGGTGGAAGAATGCAAGGATTTGTGGAAAGTTTCAAGGACAGATACACCGCCCCAGTTAGTCTCTTTGTATCGATCTTCAAGTGTGTTAGCAAAATGTCAGGGTGTAAAAGGAAGTGTGTTGTGTTAAGTATTCAACAAAAACTTTAAATTATCAATCAGTTGGGAAAAAGAGGTGTAGTTAAACAATTAGCAATGCAATACAGTAGTAAGAAAATATCTCATGGTGCTGCTCTTAATCATTTGGAATCTTTACTAGACTATCTTGAGAGTGAAGAGAACAGTTTATTAAGTGACAAGTTATATTACGTAGGCTTCGTACGGGTATCTGTAAAAAGGAAAATGGCGTGAAAAATCAAATGACAATATTACATTTTTTTAAGTGTTAAGTGTGAATATTCGTAAAAAGTGTTGGATGTTGTTGAACAATGTGATTGAAATAACTAATTCATACTTCAGTGTAATGTAAAAAAAGTATTAAATAGGCCATGTGATGACATAAAAATGAGGCTGAATAAATTTAAATACAGGTAGGCCTATAGTATTATGAAGGTATAGTATTACTACTTTTAATAGTATTTGTCTTAACCGGGTTTTTGATTAATCAGGATTTCCATCCCCACCATTATCCTGGATAATCGAGAGTTGAGTGTAGTTTTAGTCACTTTCCAGACAATATAACCCTCCTCACTGCAAAACTTCCATTGTCTTAATGTACACATAGATTAAATATAGAAAAACATCAAAGATTTTACATGAGCTTCTCTCATCAGGACTCCATTCAGGCAAATGATTGTTATTTTTATAGGGAAAAGGTATGCTTCACACCTGAAAATGCAAGATCTGCAGAGTACATGATTTATTTCACTGTCTTTTAGTGCATACACTTATCTACCTCACTCCTTTCTCCCGCACTACATGTTTCGGCACAAAAGTGCCATCTTCAGGTGCTTATTCGATTAACGTCAAACTAGTTCACTGCATGCCTTGTCTTCATATTAAAATAATTAAAATATATATTTATCATATATACCGATAAATATATGATAAATATATATTTTAATTATTTTAATATGAAGACAAGGCATGCAGTGAACTAGTTTGACGTTAATCGAATAAGCACCTGAAGATGGCACTTTTGTGCCGAAACATGTAGTGCGGGAGAAAGGAGTGAGGTAGATAAGTGTATGCACTAAAAGACGGTGAAATAAATCATGGACTTAAATCAGTGCAACAGGACGCTAAAATATAATATTATCTACAGAGTATATTTATCAAGATAACATTATGTCTGATAGTATGAGTACAAGAGCATGTGTATAAGCTCAAACACACCAATATGTACAAATACATAATTAAATTTTCACCACAGTTAAAAATCTCTTCAGTTACTAGAATTAAAGTACAGTTTTTTCTGAGTGGTCATAATAAGAAAACAGGATTTAGCTATAATGTTAAAATTTGGAACTCACGTTCTAAAACTGTAAGAAATTTTCTTCTTCATATTTATATTTATACTAAATACAAAGATGACAGCATGACATCATGACAGATGATGAAAGACCTTAAACTTAAAAATGACAGCATAATTTCATTTTTTCCTGCTTGCTTCAGGCTCATTCAATAAACAAAAGAATTGAAGTCATTTACAATGGTTGTGAGGAAACCAGATTGTGGAACTTTTACAGGAACAACTTCTTTAAAATGGCAAAGTCATATTATGTTAATCAAACCTAGTAGCATAAGCATTCTATAGAGGAAGTCTTCTAATTTTATATAGATATATGACTAATTTATATTTTGGGCAGCATATAATGTGAAAACACAGGGTAAAAAGTTTGTTAGGTAACTGGTTGTTATTTTGGACATTACAACTAATCTTTGCACTGCAGTGCATAGGATTTAATTTGGATTTTCCTTCTAACCTTTCTATAGTCATATTTAATGTAATTTACTAAATCCAACAGTAATGTAGCGTGCATCTTTTAGAAACAAAATGTTCAGAAGCATACATATACATTCCCTTTTTCCTTCTTTCTTCACATCTCAGAATACATACCCATCTGAGTTAAAAATATTCACATCTAGCATTCCTTAGTCAACTATATTAGATGGGTCAGCTGTCTCTACCTGGGGTTTATTTGGGTACAGGTCTTTCTTATTCAAAGCAGTGAGGAGGGGGGACAAGAGAACATCATAAAAACAGTATAGACACAAGAACATCTCAGATTCCGTATTGCCTGTGATTAACAATAGCTGCAACAGTAACTACAAGATAAAAAAAAAAAACATTCCAATATGGGTATACAAATTTAATAACAGGAATATTTATGGAAGAAGATACCACTGCCAACATACATATGTAATCACAAAACTATTTTATAATAAAAGCATGAAAAACATATTACAAATTAAATTTTTTCACTTCAAATGTACTGATCATTTTAAACATCATGACTCTCACTTAGTCCAAACATCTTTTGACTTATTATTGAACACTATTTTGTGGTTTTTAGGTGTGAGTCCAAACTTATGATTAGAGTGGAGCACTACCAGCACAGCACTGGCAAACATTGAAACATAATTTCCCAGCATCCATTCATTACTTAATTTATAAAGTATCCCTCAGCACAGAGGTGGGCAAATCGTGGCTTATGAGTGAATTTTTATCATTCAAAATAGGATTCAGAGACAAAGACTCTGGAGTATTGTTAGGTATATCAAGCTACAGTGGTCAATTTACGAGTATGTGAGATATTTTCACTTTTAAAGCATGAGAATGGTCTGGAATCATTAAGAAAAATCTGTCCACCTCTGTTAAATATTTATGAACAGCTATTTATGAAAACATTTTATCTGTAATAAAAATGGTTTTAACATGTATGACCTCATCAGAGCTGGAAAAGAAAGAATTATAATTTGGGGCAGTAATGGGATGGATGTGTAGTTTCTGCATTATGACAGCAATACATTTTAAAAGGTAACAGGGAAAATGTAATAAACATTTCTTACATTTCTGATCCATCATATTGCCACAGACCCAAATCCTGTAATGAGGTCATTTCTATTTCCTGTTTTCATCCATTACAAAGATATGATCCTCTTCTCTTCTGTCACCTTTCTGCTGCCCGTGGTTCATCACGCAAGTCAAAGGTTTTACCTGTATTTTCAGGGCGCCCATAGCAGCGGTGTTCACTGCCTACAGAGTTACCTACTTGTGGACCACGTAACTGTAGTGTGGTGATGTGCGAACGACCACGCAGGGCTAGTACCACTGAGTGCCCCCCACTTGTCACCTCACTTGACGTCACAGGACGTTCGGGTGTGTACACTGCCAGCAGCTCACCTTAAATGATAGAACAGATGCTGAGCTATGGAGTTAAAATAGTTACATAATTAACTTCCTTGCAATATGTACATGTACATTGTCTTCTCAAGTCACATATTTGTTGTTCAGTTCTTCACTGGTGACAACTGGCTGTCTAGCATCCCAGTAAGTCTTCATAGTGTCAAATCCATGAAGTACGTTTTCACACCCATACAGATCCAGAGTCAAAATTATAGTTTTGCATATTCTAATTTTTAGGTTTTTAGACAGCACTCGAGAAAACGAAAAGTTTCAGACTGAATGATAGCAAGCATTACCCAAATTCAATCTCCTCTTAATTTCCTCATGGATCTAATTTTAATTTGTTACTGTCATTCCCAAATATTTGAACTATGCCACATTTTAGATCAATTAAGATGGGTGGTAGGATTACTTACTGGACACTGCCACCTTTTCAAACCGGGACTGACAGATGACCCAACCTGTGAAAGGTGCCTACAAGAAGACGAATCAGCCACACATCCTATGTGATTGTGAGGCTATAGCTTAATTAAGATTTCATCACCTGGGTCAGTTCTTCATGGAACCAAATGAATTTTATGATGCCCCCATAAATGAAGTCCTACATTTCATTCGAAGTGTAGGATTAATAAAGGGTTAATCCAAAGGGGAAGCACAATAGATCATTGAAGGTCACGGTGCGAGGGCCTGATTGTATGGCCCACCCCTCATACTCGTACTCATGCCACATTTTCAAAGGATCTGTTAACTATCTTCATGTCACAATTTTACCTTGCATTCTGGTGATGAGACAGAAACATGCACTTACTTTACACACTTACTTCCATTGTTAATGCAACTTTGTTTACAATTACTCCTTCATTTAAAATAATATTAAAATTAAAATTAAACTTCTACATATTTTGGCCATACTTGGCCATCCTCAGTCAACTGTTCAGTTGTTGATTGCTACACTGCATTACAGAGATACTGGGTTTTTGCACTTTGTCCATCATACGGATTCTAAATAACTAAGAAAAAAATAACACAGTTTCGGAAACTGGATCTGTTTCCATCCTCAGGTGAGGGAAGATGCCTACTCTGTTGGGTCCCTTAGAATCCTCAATCACTGAGGATGGGAACAGATCCAGTTTCTGAAACAGTCTGTTTTTTCTTAGTTATTTAGAATACGGACGATGGACAAAGTCCAAAAACCCAGTATCTCTGTGTGTTATACACCATCGTCAGAACCCTATAGTATCTAATTATCTGAAGTGTTGAACATTTTCTTAAACAACCTCTTTTGCAACAGACTGTGGGACCCAACGAGGACAAACTTTCCTATAGCTCAAGCTTTCAATCATCTCCTGTACTGCACTGTGTGCCCTATTCCAAGTTTTCGGGCTATTGTGTCCACAGTCACATGCCTGTCATCTTGAATGATCTCATCCACTCTTTCCTTGTTGCGTTCAGTTGAGGCTGTTCGAGGACGACTGCTCGAGGCTCATCTTTGATGCTGGTGTTCCCATCTTTAAAATGTTTCACCCATCTTCGAACATTGCTTACACCCATGCACACACTTCCATAAGCATGCCGAAGTCTCTGGTGAATTTCTGCAGCAGGGATTTCCTCTTTCACAAGAAATTCGATGACAGCACGCTGGCGAAACAACATGTCGTTGTCGGCCATTTTGTTAGGAGTGATACTGGTCACGTGATGCAAGCTATTGACGTTACAAGACACTCAAGGTTAACACAACAGCTGGTTCCATCTACCACCACACTCTTTTGTCTGCTGTTTCCAGGTTGCATGCAAAAAAGAGTTGCTCATGACTTTTGGTATGACCTACGTACTTACACTGCATTAGTTCTTAAGTTAAATTTTGAGACAAGACACCTGAAAGCTGGAAAAGCAGAGCTAAAGTAGACGTTCATTGCGATGCAATGAATCGGTAAACAGGTTCCCACAACAAAGGATACATAAGCAACAATCAAAGTGTTGTTGGACTGTAACGATGGAAATGATGTTTTCTGTTTGATGGGACCCAAAGCTATATAACGAGGGTCCAAGGCCAGCTAGGATAGAAATGAGGGAGTCTCTTAAGATGGCTGTCAAAGATGAGTGCAAAGAGATTGCAACAAGCTCAGTTGAAGACTATGTGTGCTGCAGTTACAGTGAGACTGTTATAAATCCATTGCCAGGATAAGACTAGTGAAGACAGAAGACTTGGCATGTCCTAGTGATTTGTTATGTGTAAATCAGCAATACTGTTGTAATTACCTGTAGTTATGATTGAGTGTGTAACTGTTTGGGGCAAAGCATTTGTATATATACTGTACAATGTGGGGGACAGGATAGAACCCTGTAGTGCCCCTGCTCATATTTATATTCCTTGGCATAGAAATTTTACCTTTGACTGAGACTCTGAATTTTCTCTGAGAAAAAAACAGCTAATAAGCTTGATTAGGCTGATGGAAAATTTTGATTTAGATATTTTATATTTCGTTACCCTTCAAAGCTTATGAAACATGAGTGCATATGTATACTGTGCATTAGGACTGGAATTCTATTTCAGGATAAAATATTGGGATACATTAAAACTCAACAATTTAACTGACATTTTAGGTGAAACATTCTAGATACACATGCTATTAAGCAGTATGTTTCTTTATCCATTACCATTTACTGGTAATGATATAATTAACTGCACCATACTTGTACACTTTATGCTGCAGCATGGACATTGTATTAATAGGTAAGTTCAAAATTATGTCAGACTCAATTACCTTTATTGAGGTCCCAAAGTCGGAGTGATCGGTCTCTACAGATTGAGTCTGCTGAGAGAAATGAACCCCCATGGAAATCAAGTCGCAAGAAGTTGACCGGGGCAGTGTGCCCGCACAAACACCACCGGCAATTTCCTATAGTTAAATAAACACAGTAGTTAAAACAAGAGTATGGAATTAAGAAGCATAGTCCTAGCTGCATTTTTCAATAAGTTTCAGTATATTCTGGTCCTTAGGTTTTTCTGAAGTTTTGGCAACCACTGCATTTATTATCTTCATAGTTAATGACTTTTGGATGGTTTTATTATATTATGCTAATGATTTCTGATTTATTGGGTTTAACATCTCTCGATTCAATACTCAAAACCCCACAAACAAAAACAAACTCTGTGGTTTCAGTCCACAAGTGAACTATACTGACCGAGCAACCGCCGTTTGGTCGGTACAGTTTGCTTGTGGACAAAAACCATTCAAACCCCACATGAGATAAAATGTTAGCTAACAGACCATAAAGAGTTCACAGAGTGAGTTCTAGATTCTTGAAGTTCATTAAGCTTTGAAAAACTGCTGTGTTTCAGAACAAGGAGCAACTGTCCTTACAATTGTTTCTGATATGTTTTGAAAAAGAATATTCTGATCCTGGCAAATATAGAAATCCTTAATGACATACTGAGTTTCTAAGGCTGCATCTATAAATTTGATGGTCTCTGAGTGTGTATTTCACTTACCTGTGATTAGGTCCCAGACTAGAATCCTTGCATCCTCTAGCCCACTGATAACACAGCCATCTCGAGAAGAAATGTCAAGGGAAACTGTATTTACACCTGGTTTCCATTTTTTGAACAATGTCCCACTTTGCAGATCATATACAACAATGAAATTGGGACATGGTTCATCCACTTCCTGTATTCAAACACAAGCCCATTAAGTATTTATATAGTCAATCTAATGCAGCTAATATTTCAGATGTAGATAAATCTCCTGTAAATATTTCGTAACTATTGCATGTGTTCTAAGCAACTGGTGATGTTATAGGGAAAAGAATGGATAGTATCATATCTTCAGGAGAAGTAACATGTAAGCTTCACTTAATTTATGAAGCAAATTAGCTAGTCAGTGCTACACCGATACATGTTTTCAAATATTTACATTAATCTCATGAATGTTTTACTCTCTTTCTGAAATGCTTCAAACTGTTAACAAACTTAATAAAAATATTGTCACTGCAAGATAATACATGTGGAAAAATGTCACTAAGACATTTTATATTAAATTTATTGATAGGCTTTACTACAGTTTAACATAATCTCTGTTGAGCATCTTCAATCAAAAATTGTGAAACTTTAAAAATACTGTGACGTTCTATAGGTATCTATATATTTTTATTACTGGACTTCAGTTCAAGGTAAAGCCATTATAGTTTGTAACACATTTACAATTTTAACTGTAATCATAAACATTACAAACAAAAACAAAAACTAAACAGACCCTGTGGTTTTAGTCTGCAATCGAACTATCTAACACCGAAAACATTTCTGATGCCAACTATAGCAAACTTAACCTCTTCATGTGCATCATACATCTACCAAGCTGTTACCGATACACACAACACAAAACTCTGTATTTGTGAATTTTATAATATTAAATATTTGCAGCAACAGATAGAGCAAGAAGGCATTTGTTATTTTTCTGTATTGCCTTATATTAAATGTACTTCAGAGTCTCAGATAAAATAGGGAGGAACATCACTGTGTGACAAGATTTGAGTAACCAACTATAATATTTTATTTTCAGTTTTATAAAACATAAACGAGTATAGTGCTTTGTCTTAGCATTTCTGTTCCAGATTAACAGATACTCAAACTCAATAGGTCAATCTTATCCAGTTCATTTCCTACATATTAAAAATATTCTATAATTGAGCCATTATTCAAAAAGGTGACAAAAAGATATAAAAAATTATAGGCCTATATCGTTACTATCATCTTTTTCTAAAATATTTTAAAAAATTCTATATATATATATATAAGACTCTCCAAACATGTAATAAATAATGATATATTATTTATTGAACTTGGAGAAAGCCTTTGATTGTGTTAATCGTGACTTATTAATGAAGAAATTGAAATTCTATGGAACTGTAGGCAATGCACATGTTTTAATCAAATCATATCTCAGTGACAGGTATAACGAGTTCTCAATGATGATAATTTAACACAATCTTATACTTCTTCAGAATGGGGAAAGACTAAATATGGCGTGCCCCAGGGATCTGTGCTTGGACCAATGCTTTTTCTTTTTTATATAAATGACTTATCTAAAGTAGTAAATAATAATTCTAAGCCGGTCTTATTCGCTGATGATACCAGCATTATTGTTAGTAACCCTAATTTACTAGACTTTAAAAATGATCTTATTTCTTCATTTGAACAATTGAATGTATGGTTTAACACCAATTTGTTATCATTAAATTATATTGAAACTCAGTATATACAATTTAGAACTATTAATAGTCCAACAATTCAATTAGATATCAGTTATAATAATAAATATTCATTCATTCATCAGTAATCTGTCAGACGACAGGTCCACAGTCTCTTCCAAAACAGTTCCTCCACTTAATGCAATCTAGAGTTTTCTCATTCAAATAAAAATATCATCTTCTGTCCCCAAGGTCATCCAGCATCTTCTTACGTTGTTCTTAACATTATTGTTAATAATATAAATACTCGGTTTCTAGGTATTACTGTTGACAGCTCCTTGTCATGGAAAAATAATATTGATGGACTAATGGTCAAATTAAGCAAAGCATGCTATGCTATCAGATCCTTAAGACCCTTTGTCTCTCATGAATCATTGAGGATGATTTACTACTCTTATTTTCATGCAGTTATGTCGTATGGTGTAATCTTCTGAGGGAATTCCTCTCATAGTAACAATATATTTAAACTGCAAAAAGGGGTTATATGAATTATTACAAATTCTAGAAATAGGGACTCCTGTAGGGATCTGTTTAAGAAACTAGATATATTACCGTTTTACCCTCAGTACATATTCTCATTATTAATCTTTGTAACTGATAATATTTCCTTATTTAAAATAAATTCGGAGTTATATGATATCAATACCAGAAGCAAAAGTAATTTTTATCGTTCACAAACAAGGTTGTCAATTTATATAAATGGTGTTTATTATATGGGTATAAAGGCATTTAATCACTTTCATTCTTACATAAAGAATTGTTAGATAATAAGAATCAGTTAGAAATACTTTAAAAAATTACCTTCTACTCAATTCTTTTTATTCACTGAAGGACTTTTTTAATAGTAAATACTAATCTTAGAGTTACATTTTTATCCATATGTTTTATGCATCGTAAAGTGCTTTATTTTTACATACGATATATAATCACCTACTTTCTGGCATGAAGACTTGTATTAAATTTAAGATGTTGCCAAGTATAAAGTAGGAAGAAAAATCAATTTGGTTTATTGTATTATCTGACCTATGCTTAATTTCCATAAAGCATGTGTATTTTTTATTTATTTCTTAATTGCTATGTTATGTATTTGTTGTATAGTTTATTGTATAGGTTATCTGTTTGTGACTGGTTCTGTGTTCATCAGGTGTACTCTGTAGCCTCAACTGGATCAAAGGAATTTTACAATAAATGAATGAATTCACTCTATATCGTGATATAGTACAGTCTGACAATCTGATTCAAGACCTCAGTCATCCAAATTTTTCATACTTGCATGAGGGAATAGGCCATCGTGACTAGTGAATTCTGGATTTCATTGGACCTCCAGGCAAATCAAAGGCAATATTTTAATATTTTCACCACAGAATCCTTGTAGGCTACAGCATGAAACCTTCAAGAAACTACTGGTCTTCCTCAAAACTAGTAGATACCAGGTCATGAGACCCAATATTAGGTATTTTGTTTAGATAAAAATAATAAAGCACTGTAAATATGAACATTCACCTTTGCAACGCAACAGACATAATGTCCTTCATGTGTAATTGCAGCCAGACTTGTGACAAAGTCATGATGAGGGATTCTTAAGTCATACAGCAGTTTTCTAGATGCCAAATTCCATACCAGCAGAGGAAATGGTTTCTGAGTTTCATCCCCACACACCAACACTCTGAAATTAATTAAAATAGCAATATACAATGTCAGCTATTAATTCATAATCAGCTACTAATTCACAGGGTTCCCAGAGAAGAGTATGCTAATATTTCTTTGGTCGATAACATTGTAAATATAAATTCAAGAGACTTACAATATTAAATTTTGCAATTCAGACCGATTGCTTAAGGCAGAAAAATATATAAAAAATAACTTATTTTACCACAAAACTGTTTATTCTTAATAAAATCTTCATTTTTAGCCAACTTTCCTTATTTTCAAATAATAAGAGTAGTCATATGAGATCACCTTGTGGTCTCTCTCTGTTGTGTGTGTGGGGGGGGGCATGTGGGCATGTGCACATGGGCATCCAAACAACTTTTGAACACCTGACCTAATTGTAATAAAACGTCCTGCATAACACACCACTTGAGGCCATCTCAATGGCATACTTCATAAATCCCTCCCATCAGTAATAACATTACTGCAGCCTTTCAAATTCTTGAGGCAACAACCTTAATATTACTTGGCTGCCTCAACTGATCAACATAAGACACTGTATGTATATTATTCCACCTGAATCCACCTAAGTAGCTTATCTCATTAATCCCCTGCACCATCAGTAATACTAGCACTGCAGACTCTCAGAGTGTTGAAGAAATAACCTTAATGTTACTTGAATGCCAAAACCTATTGTCATGGAAGTTCGTACGTATTTCACGCCACCTAAGGTCTTCTCACCAGTATACTTCACATATCCCTCCTATCAGTAATACCACACTGCAGCCTTTCAAACTCTATTGTTTTATCAGACTTCATTAAGCATGTACAGTGAAATTCTTTTCTATTTGTCATACTTGAATTGTACTGAAAGGAAAGTAGATGATTAGTTCTTCTCAGTAATTCTTGTTTATTTTATTCTTGATTTATCATTTCTTTCAATAGATCAGTTTACACAGCATAAAATGACAAAATGATTAGTGAATAATATATAGGAACGGGTATGAATGGAAGAGGCCATGACTGTAGCTGAAGTACTATCCTGGCATTTGTCTGAAGGGTCTGAGGAATATCACACAAGACCTTAGGAATGGTAACTGGCCTCCAGGCCAAGATTTGAAGCTAGCATCTTCAAAATATGAAGCAGAAGTTAGTGTTACGTTACTGTTAAGAAGTCTCTAGGAGTTAATCAGTTGCTACTGTACATTAATTGTTTTTACCTGCCATCACCAGAAACAAGCAAGGAATTTAGGAACCGGTCCTCTCCTGCCTTGAATGTTGTTACACAGTCTCCACTCTCCAAGTTCATTAGGTTCACATACATCCGATTACGCGAAAGTGCTACCAGATGAGCTCGATCATGGAGCCCATAGTAGGGCATCTTCTGATTCATGACACCCTTCAGTCTTGTTACAAATTTTCCTGAATCCAAGTCATAGATTCGAAGTTCTCTTCGACACAGGACCACACACCTGAAAACATATCAGAATATCATTTATTATTAGCTATTTTTTACAGTGCTCTATTAGCTGCTGAGTTCATATAATGACAAATCAAATATAGCTGGATAATTGTAAATGATGATTCAGGATGGATGCAAGAGCCTTTTTTGAAAGTATTATACCAGCATTTGCCTGGAAGAAATAAGGAAAATCACAAAAATCCCAGTCATGTTAGCTGGTCACTCGCATGGTATCTAGCTTGAATCTGATCAGACACATTAAAACTTAAAACCTGCTTGGTATTGTGTATTAGAATTACATAAAACTTCCTGTTATCTTTCAGAAGTCTTGTGTGAAATATTTTTCAGTGTTGTAAACTAGAGCAACCAATGTTCATTATTCTGGTAGATTCTAAAGGGTTCTGACAACGGTGTATAACACTCAGAATTATTGGGTTTTGAACTTTGTCCATTGTCCAGTCAATAGACAAAATCCAAAAATGTAGTATTCATGAGACCATTATTCTGATCTGTTTCAAAGAAACAATCAGTGGTGAACTACAGGGAAAATGTGTACCAAATAACATGGTGAAGTGATATTCCTGCTTCATAATCAAAGATTCCAAGATTAAATCTAAGGCTGCACTCTAGGCATCCTGAGAGATTTCTCATTTCCGACAGTGGTTTCAGGAAAACACTAAGAAGCACATTAACACCATAACTACTTCCTTCCAAATATATTATGCCATATAGACCCATTTCTAGGCCATGGCCATGAAAGTAGCAATACAACAGCTGTTGCTGGGTAACGGCTCTGACAACAGACAAATGCAACAGTTCCGCAGCAACAGTTGCACTGCAGCAGAGGAGCATTTTTTTTTCTACATGGTCAATGCTGAAAGCAGGACAAGTGGACATTGAAGGCAGCACTATGAGCTTAGTAAACAGCTGCAGGGCTTACATATAGATGTGGGTCTGCTATCAGAGACACATCTCAAACCCTGTGAGAGGTTATTTATTCCAAACTGTCACTTTTATCAGACAAGCTGCTTCCCAGGAAGAAAATGCATTCCCCATAAGCATGCAGACCTGCACAATGAGTGCGATACATACACTTGACACAGGTGAATCCTATTCATAGGAGGCAAACACATTCTCTCATCAGAGAAGATGTTACATAAAGACTATTAGAGCAAGGGTTCAGTTGAAAAAAAGAAAATCCAGTTGTGCGTCTTTCCATCAGGAGTAAATTTATTAACATTTAAACGCCAGACTTCAAAACAGTGGTAAGCTTGAGCTGGCCGGAGTTTATTTAAATGCCCGCTGCTGGTGCACGTTTAAATGCCCGTTGCTACTCTGTGTTTAAATGTCCGTTCCTATTAGGTGCTTAATCAATTTTAAGCGTTGTGTTTAAAAATGCTGTATCTTGCCCAATTTTTATGATAAATGGATGGTATTAACTTTGTTTATATCAGCAAAGAACACAGTGTCGCATATTGTAACGGAAGATTTGAAATTTTTAATACAAAGTGTTATACTCTATTTTCAATTTTTTGTTTTAATTTTGATGCGTACTGCAAAAATGGTTTCCCAGTTCTTCACAGAGTTGTTCTGCATTATAAATTCATTTCTGTTTGTAACACTTGACGAATTTTAGCAGTCCCTGGTGTCATAAAACAGATGGAAGCAATAAAATCATTTGGTCTTCTGCTAGCCCTGCTTAAACTCTTCGGATTTTCGAATCTTTTGACTGAATGACAGAAGAATGAAAGCATGGCTATTCAAGAGAAAGCTAGAGGGGTCCCTTCTTCAGTGCTAAGACCTCCCGTTAGAGCTGCAAAAGTTTATTGCCCCTTCTATTTGAATGAGCAGACAGCTGCATCGTGGCTAAGATACAGAGTGCAATCTGTTTTCTGTGCGTTCGTAGTGAAATCGAATACTGTAGTATAATTTCAGCCTATATATACATCAAGCAGGTAACAACAAAAAAGGTATGTACATCGAATTTTACAATATATTTTTAACATACCTATCTGCAGAATCTGCAATAAAATTACTGGATCGTGGATAAGTTTTGGCATAACTCATACGTATATTTCTATTTGCTATTGTTCATTTAGGTATCAATTTAATTCCTCTATTAGGGTTTTACTCAAGTCTGTCTGGTAATTACTACATTTAAAAATAAATAGTTAGGACTATGCATGTGCTTCCACTAGTGGCGTGTGCGCGCGCTTCCACTAGTGGAGTTTAAATGCCTGACTGGCACAAACGGGGCACTTCGGCACTTAAAGGTTAATGTTACAATGGGGGAATGTCATACATTTTTGGATTTGGGAAAGTTTACTGCTCTAACTCCATTATCATTATTAATTTCGTGAAAATTCTCATTCCCAATTGCAGGTTTCAAAATGTCTTCCCTACCTACTTTAGCACCAAAATCTCCTAACAAAATATTCATGTGGTAATTTGGGAATTTATCAAATATATGTGCCAGTTCTTCATACAACCTGTTCTTCATATTATCACTTTTAACTTCTGCTGGGGCACGAACTTTCAGAACGATGGTATCACACCAGCAACCTCTTAGTATTATATATGACATCCTGTCACTAATAGATTCCTCCCTCTTAACTGCCCATATGAGTCTCTTATTTATGAAGAAACCTGTACCTAATTCATGATTCTCACCCCCCTTCCATGTATATTTGCTTGCTGGTTTGGTGCCACTTCCATCCCATCAGACATTCTTTACTGTCACAAAATCCAACTTATATTTTGAGATTTCTTTGCCACTGCCCTGAGCAAACCTGCCCTATACATGTTTCCACCATTCCAAGTATCAAATTTCATATCCATTTTCTTTCGCTCAGGTCATTTATCCAAGGAATCCATCCAGGTCTAAGGCTTCCTGTAATCTTTCGTAACAAGCTTATTTTTTACGGTAGGAATTGTTAGCCCCACACCCAACCCTCAAGCTGGAGGATCACCCCTTATCAGCTGTCCATGACTGCTTTTTCAATATATTTGCAGCCACCCTCCATATCTGGAGACCATCTCCTTCAACCACAACCTGAGGATGTCATGCTGTGGTGACAAGGGACCCACCTAACATGGTATTTCATTCCTCTTGAATCCAAATGTTCTCAGCATTTTGATCTCAAACACACTGAGTCAATTTTCTTCCCTAATGTCACAGACAAAGTTTCACAGCCATACAGAACTACAGGCAAAATTATAGTCTTGTTTATTTTCATTTGTATGTTTTTAGATGGCAGATGAGAAGACAAAAGTTCTTAATTTAATAGTAACAAGAATTACTACAATTTAAAGTGATCTCAATTTCATCATGCATACAATTTTCATTTGTTACTGTTATCTGCAGACTTTTAACTTTGCCACATTTTCAAAGGATTTATTAGCCCTCTTTATGTTATGATTCTATCCCGAATTCTAGTGAGAAGATATCAGTATACACTTAGTTATCTCTGTTTACTTTTAGACCAACCTCCTTACTAGTATTAATTAAAGCTTCTATGTCTATTTATGGTATTTATATTATTACCCAACATATTTACATCATCAGCACAGACCTGAAGATGATGTGACTCATTCAATTTCAATTCCACATGTTTGTTTGGGGGGAGGGGGCCTTCCTAATGGTGAATTCTAAAGCAAAATTCAAAAGCAGTGGCAATTAAGGATCTCCTTTAGACCACTTTGAATAGGAAACATACCACACAAACATTTTCCTATGCAGATTTTACTACAGGTTTCATTTAAACAAATTTTAGTAAACCTAACTGGATTCATGGGTAAACCAAACTCCATCAGAATACTGAATAATACTTCCCTCCTAACAGAATCATAGTCTTTTTTTAACTTTATGAATAACTGATGTACTGTCTCACCATACTCAAATATTTCTCCAGTATCTGATGAATGCAAGAAATCTGATCAGTAGTTGATCTGTTATGTCGAAACCCAGGCTGATGATCCAGAATAATTTAATCTATGTGTGTAATTAACCTTGAGAGAAGGACATTGGATAAAATTCTGTACGAAGTTTATAACAGTGAGAGGCCTCGATAATTGCTATGGTCACTTTTATCACACTTTTGGTAAATAGGTACAATAATTAGACTCCTTTCTCTGCTGAGGCAATTCTTTGTTGCTACACACAGAATTAGTGTGTTTATGGATCTCCAGAACGTTATGTTTTACCTCTTTCTTGAATCGGTTCTGCAAGAATTTGACAAAAATATCTGGCAATTTATACCTCTTCAACTTTGAAATTTCAGCCTCAAAAGGACTAGTCTCAGCTGTATGTATTTCTATGTGCCTAACGTCACTAACCTTACAGCTGAGAGATGTAATTCTTCTGCCTATTGAAAATGTCCTGGGAATCTTCCAGCAGATCACCATTCACACATTTTACACAGTTACTTCTAGGTTAGTAACCATTAGTAACCATCTTTGACCCACAATGATGTGATTGTCCTTTCAAGTGGAACTAAAGATATAGGGAAAAATAACTCTAAAGAAGGACTAAGAAATATATTAAACTTTGTCAAAACAAATTCTCATGCAAACATTGTTTGTTAACTGTGCCCCCTAGATATAACTTGGAAAGGTGGGCGTGTGAAAATGATGAGATAAGAGTTTATAATAGGAAATTGGAGAAATGTATCAAACATGTTACATTACTAAACCATGATCTAAATAGAGCTCTCTATACAAGACATGGGCTCCATTTCAATAAAACTGGGAAAAATGTATTGGGCAGGAATATTGCTCTGACTTGTTCTAAAATCTTTCACAGAGATATGAAACCAATTTATTTGCCTTGGAAGGAAAATAATAATTCTGATAATGAGACCCACAATCTCTCTGGCATAAATAATCATTTTTGTGAAAATTACTCAAGGGAGGCAAGCCAGAGGAAGATGAAGATCCATGTTAAGTGGGCCCTTTGTCACAAGACATGGCATGTCCTCAGACTGTGGATGGAGTTGACAGCCACCACATGTGTGCGGGGGGGGGAGGGGGGGGGTTGCTGCAAATGTACTGAACAACAAACCACAGACAGCCAACAGAGTTTGACACTACAGTTTGTGGGATGGGCATGGAACTAATAACTCAACTGTAAAAGAAACCAGCTTATTATAAAATGTAAAACAGACCTTCAAATTTAGAAAGATTCTTTGGAATGACCTACTTAAACTTATTTATGGAGCTGAGCCCTTCTTGAGGAGAAGCCAAATCTGCAGTTACTCAAGAATTTTCCAGCATTTTATGGAACCCAAAAGTTCATTACCATGTTCACAAGAGCCCTCCACTGGTCCCTATCCTGAGCCAGATCAACCCAATCCATCCCATCCGATCCCATCCTGTCTCTGAAGATCCATAACCTTCTTGTGGTATACCTAAGTTAAATGAACAATGTTATGGAAACAGAGTTTAAAAAGTTAACTGTTGCATTAGTGCTCAAGGAAATGCTTACACACAAAACATATCAACAGGCTCAAAAAGGTACAATCTGTTGAGAATCTAGTAATGTAAAAATGTTCAAGTTGGTAATAGTGATCTATATTCATTTGTTTTTGTTTTGTATTATAACATAAAATTTCTTCTCATTCAATATGACTGTTAAGTGATATGTAAGCATGACACAGAGAAAATCAACAGGTTATGGGCCCAGACTTGCTCAAAAACTAAAAAAGAAAAAAAAATGGGAAGACAGAAGAAGAATAACAAAAAAAAAAAAATGGCAACTACAGAGACAGAAGAGGTAACTCATCTGCCAAAACTGAAGGACACCAACTCATTTCCATTGTGGGATTTTTAAATCAAGATTCTGATGCGTGCAAAAGAACTGATAAACATCGTTGATGGCAGCAACCTGTTAAGTGACCAAGGAAGAGACCAAGAAAATATAAGGAAATGGAAGATGCGAGATGCAACGTGCCAATACTACATAGTGAGAATAATAGAGAAACACGTGAAGACCCACACTGTGACATGCACAACCGCGAAAGAAATGTACAACACCTTGAAGCAAATTTATCAGCGAGACACCTCTCAACAGAAGTGCCTTCTGCTATAAGACTTTTACATCTTCAAGTATGACAAAACTAAGGATATGATGACGAATATAAGTCATGTGCAGAACATTGCCTTCAAGCTTCATCAACTGAACCAAAACATTGATGAAAACATGATCATGACAAAAATAGCAATGATTCTACCAGAAGACTACAAACACTTTATCTGACTCCGAAACTGTGAAACTGGAAGCATTTAGTGATGCTGATTATGCAGGGGATGTAAAGGATAGGAAGAGTGTAACGGGATATGTAATTATGATGTCAGGGGGCCCAATATCATGGTGCTCTAGGAAACAGAGTACTGTTGCATTATCAACCACTGAGGCTGAATATATTGCAGCAGCTGAGTGCTGTAAAGAATTGAAATATCTAAAGACGTTGATAGAGGAGTTGCAGGAAAAAGGGTGGAAGCTGAACTGTGTGTTGACAACCAGAGTGCAATCAAGCTAATAGAATCTGGACAAGTAACATGTAGGAGTAAGCATATAGACATTAGGTATCACTACATAAGTGAACAATTGAAAGAGAAACTGTTCTCAATCAAATATTGTAACATTGAAACTCAGGAGGCAGACATTTTAACAAAACCGCTATCACCAGAGACATTTACCAAGTTTAAGAGACATTATACTTAAGAAGAAATAAGTCTGATTTTGATAAGACTGAGAAAATTTTATTTACATGTACTAATTTTGCAATCTGAAGATCAAAATTACTAAGTGTTATTCAATTTAACTTTGTAAAACAGCTAATAATGTTGACAACATTTTGAAATTAAGGAGGAATGTTGAGAATCTAGTAATGTAAAAATGTTCAAGTTGGTAATAGTGATCTATATTCATTTGTTTTTGTTTCGTATTATAATAAAAAGTTTCTTCTCATCCAATATGGCTGTTAAGTGATACGTAAGCACGACACAAAGAAAATCAACACAATCGTACTTCTGGATCTGCCACTGATTGACTATCTACAAACTGATGGGAGTCACACTGCTTACAAGGTGAACAGAAATTGTTAATTTTACTGAAATCAACACTGTTACAAATCATTAATACATAATCTCTGACAAAAGTTCAACCAATTTTACTGTAAAATAAAGTTCACATCTGCATTTATTTTGTGTTTTAGCATAAATTCAATTGAATTGGACCATAAAATGTACCTTGTATCATCAATGGTCTTGAGATTGATGGGATGTGTTACTCCAGTAAGAGTTCTTACAGGGATGGCATCATGGACGTCCCACACAGAAATTTCTTCCCGTTCCGTTGACACAGTGACAACAAAATCAGGATTATCCACTAGCCGTGTGATCATGTCAAACTGACACAACTGCTCTAAGTCTTCTACTTCAACTGCACCACCACTACCAATAGCTGCGGCAGAAACTGACAACTTATCCATCACATTTTTCTCTCCCTCAGCTTCTGAACTTCCACTGACCAGCAGCTGAAGAGGCAAGAGGGAAAGGACAGGAGGATCACAACAAACCTCATACAGTTCCTTCACATATTTGTAACCTTCAGGAGACTCCCAATTTGGTTCTGCTGAGGAAGGTTTCTTTTTTAAATCATGTGTCTTACTTCCACGAGAACCATATATAGCAGATAAGTGGCCATACATCTGAGAGTAAAACTGCCTGCCATCATATGCCAATGCACAAGAACTTTCTTCAAGACACTTTTTAAGGAAGAGGAGGTCCTTTTCTTGTCCTTTATTAGTGGTCAAAGATCTCTCTTCTAGAGTAATGTCCTCTAATACCTGTAAAATATCCATAAAGATAAAGGTAAGACATAATTCATTTCCAGATTCATTATAATACTATTGGGGCACACAGATCTTTACATGCACAAGAAATTAAATACATTAGTGTAGATAATAATTTCAAGTTGAATGGAATGTCAAGGCTTTAATTACATGAAAGAATTTAACTAAAAAAATTACAGAGATTTGTACAGTAGGAATTGCAAGTATTACACAATGAAACTGTTTCTTTGCATTTTAATTCCAGTACCCAATAGAAAAACGAATGGTGTGAATCAATACTGCAAAGCGATATCTGTAAAGAATAATACAATTTTATACTGACACAAATAAAATGAATTCCCCATATGAATTTTTGAAGTGGATGCAAAATTCTTGATCTTAAACTTTTTAGAGTGGTATGATAGACCTTTAATTATGGGAGATGTAGAAGATGAAAGTAATCTTTTACTATCCACAAAAATATTGTCAGTTGCTGTAGTTGAGTCATGTTGAATTTCTGTTGCATAACTTTCAACGTGACAAATTACATGTTGTTAGTAATGAATTGATCTGGTTTTCTTTTTTGAGGTGGGGGTTGCTTTCATTGTGATACTTTACGTTTATGTCCCCATGGATTATAAATTCAGATTCTGGATTGTACAGATATTTTAGAATAGAATCTAGTCTCTTTAGAAACTGATTAAGATCTGCTGAAGGAGATTTGCACAAGCTTATTATAATTAGGTTAGTTTTTTAGTTTCGGTTGAACTGTCGCTCAGATTTCTAAATCCTACTTTTAGAAGTGTTGAGAGATATCGGTTTTTTCGAAACACTGATCTTTCCTAAGAAAAATACACACAAATTCCTTCTGTAGGCTTTTCTGGCAGAAACTCGGACCTTATTAGTAACCAGCAATTGTGAGGTGCAGCAGCTCCTGTTCCACCATGTGATGTTCACTTAAGCATAATATATGAGGATATTTGCTGTCTGTTTCAAAAGGCTATATCAATTCATCACTTCTTTTTAGTCTCCTGACATTCTGGTGAAAGATATTTGATGAATTTAATGGTTTTACATTTACTTTGTGAACTTCAGAGTCTACAGAACTACATTTACCTCTCTGATTTCAAATTTAAGTTAAAATGTAGAGGCCCTATCATGAGTAATAATGGAAATACTGCTTATACTCATCATATCACAACAACCCTCTCAACAACAAGATGCTTAAGCCGCTTCTTGCCTCAAGAATTAAGGCAAAGGCCATGGGTCATGTAATATTCCCTTCCATAAAGGCTGTCAGTGACACCAATGTGAGACATATCACACCCTGTGTAGGCCCACTCAAACCATAGATAGATTTAATGCTCCTAACCCTCTGGTTAATCCATGGATTGTTGTGCCTCTTGAAGAATTTGACAAATCCCACATTTATGTTAGTTGTTCTCTCTGTTGTGAAGGTGAGATCTCTTTGAATTAAAGAATGATTAATAGATGCTACCCAGGCTATTTCCTGGCCCTTCCACTATAATAATATGATCTTGCTTGGTAAGGCCTTTACCAAGGGGAACCATGTCCTCAGAAACCTTTGCAGGAACAACACTTCGTCTGAATATAGAGAATGTCTGAAAGATAATGGCAGGGTTTCATGAACCAATATTTAAATAAAATGAGAAACATACTATGATATGATGATGGTATAGTTTAACAAGAGAAGCCATCTGCTGCCATGCAACAGGAGGTAAACAACATGTGACTGCAGGTTTCCACAGCAACAGATATACATGCAACGAAAGAAGATCTATTGGAAACAGTGTTTTCTACTGTATCCACCCTAAGGCTACATAGTGAGTGAAAACTAGAAAACATATGGAGGAAGTAGATCCCTGTGCGTAGGTGGGTTCTGATACTGCCACTGTAGCCCTGTGAGTCTTAGGGGGCAACAGAAAGGGAACCCAGTGCCTGCAGGTATAATTGGGCCCTCCTGTTTCTAGGGGATATAAATACAGGGACCTAGCCCTCCAAGTTGTGGGAGTCTCGAATCTGTGACAGTAAAACATGGTCACGTGTCCTGCAGGTCTCTGACCCAAGAATAACTTCGTGGATGAGGGCCAGCAGCAATTATAAAAAACAGACCCGTCCTCTCGTTAGAGTGGGCATCCCACATCCACAAACCTGCAACTGCCTGACAGTAATCAAAATCTGGTCTCAGGCCCCAAATGGTGCTTGACACCAAGACTGACTGGCCGACTGACCATTGGTCATAACTCTGACTTTGGCTTTGAACATGTGGAGCTATCGGTTAGGCATGAGAAAATAAACAGCTGGTAACAATGTCAGCAGAAGAGGACACTGTTGAGATCTGTTACCAGGCAACTAGCAGTGAAGGCGACTGAGAAGAATTTGCATTTGCTATAGTGAATTGTAAAGTGCATGAAATAGTGAGAGCTCTGTAATTACTTGTAGTTACGATTTATAAGCATTCAATAAATCCATTTACTAGTCCAATCCCCATGTACAGCCACCAAATCATGACAGTATTAAAAATTAATATTTTATTTTAAAGTGTACCTGAAATAGTTTTGAAAATAATTAGTAAGTTTTCATTTATGTACTATTCATGACCATACATATATCTAATCAATAATCCACTTCTTGCCATACATGCTGTAGCATATCTCAATGGCTTCTTTTGTTCTTGTTTACCATGGTTCTGGTCTCAAATTTTGTTAACAAAAACACAATCCTTTACATAGCTCACAAAGAAGAAATCAAGTGATGTAATTTCAGGCCACCCTTGCCAATCCATTTTCCAGGAAATGTTGTACTGGAGTACTTTTCATAATATGACATGAAACTTCTAACTGTAAACTGTGGTGGCAAAGTAATTTCCTGGGGCTATGAATGCAAGATTGTCTAATGTCTACCACGGCTTCATCTGATGGTTTTGGTTTCCCTGTTCTTGTCTGTTTTGAAACACTGATTGTTCCTTCAAACTTATGAAATCATCGGCTGATGTTCCCATGTGGAGAATCTTTATTATATCCATGCCTAAATGCACGCTGAACAATAATAACCGATTTATTCTTGTCTAAGAGTGGAATACAGCGAATCTCTTCTTGTGGAGTAAAGATGCCTAGATGACCATACACATTTAAAGACTGCACAATACTAAACTGGGGAGTGGGGGGATGTAACCCTACAATGTGACAACCTCTGGTGGCTGCTGGTGAAACTGGGTGGAGGAATGGAAAAATACATCATTCGTTGTGATGCCTCTTGCATAGTTGGAGGCAGGACTCCTGTAACCCCACCATTACTTTTAGGCCACAATGTACCACAAATGTCAAAATGTATGCCTAGTGTTTCTTGAAGTGTGGGGCCAATTCCCTTATTAAATTTTAATTTATCATTTGTTAGCCTTTCTTACAGATGAAAACAGTGAAAAAGAAAGTAGCTGCTGCATCTTTCTCCAGCTTCTTCTTCTTAATTAAATCCCATTATATGCATATACGTAGCATATGTTTAAATTAAGTTAACACTGTATTACAAATATGTAATCAGAACTCACATGGTACACATCAGAGCCGCAAAGTTTGACATACAACCAGGAATGGTTGTAAAGGAACTCCTTCAGTATTGAACCCCTAAGCTGAAACACCTGGAAGGGGAGTTCATCCAGCTTTCTTCTGTTATAGCTAAAATAAACATAGAGCAGGACAACATTGTCAGTGTTCAGGTATTATATTCCACAATGTCCAAAATAAATGTTCAAATATGAACAAATGTTGACTCACATGTTTACACATGCAAACATATGAAGTTGCAGACATGTGATTTGTGCTACCCTGTGCCATTTAAAAAAATTTGTACAGAAGTTGCAATTTTACCGGCCTACTAACTTCATAGTTATTGAAGAGTACTATCTTCTGGGTTATAATGCAGTATAGTCTGTTGAAAGTCAACCGTCATTTTGGAGGAACATATCGCCTCCATCTTCAGGGTCAAATTGGTCAGGCAAGATTCCTGTATGAAAGCAGATGGTCTTCTGGGTTATGGCATCAGGTAGCCTCACAGGAAGTTAATAATGTTTAAGAGGAATGTGCTGTCTCCATTATCAGGGTAAAATCTTGAGCACTGGTAACAACCTATGGGACTATTCAGTGTCATAACCCAAAGGATCAGAATCCAGACAAACTTCTAACCTTAAGTAGTTACTACAGGATTCTGATGATGGTGTATAACACACTGATATATTGGGTTTTTGAACTTTATCCATCGTCCTGGTTTTAAGATAACTAATAAAAACACGATGTTTCGGAAACAGATCCAGTTTCCGAAACATTGTGTTTTTATTAGTTATCTTAAAAACCAGGACGATGGATAAGTCCAAAAACCCAATATATCAGTGTTCTAACCTTAAACTAAGGCAGCAGGCCCATCAAAAATAGTGTGATCCACCAGCAAGGCTGCATTTTATCATAACCTACATGATAAATTTCCAAATTTTCACCACCTCAAAAGTCTCAAATCTACAAAATACTTCAATTTCCCAGGCTCCTATAAACAATTATTGTGGAGGTATTTCACTGTGGCCAGAGATTGAAGCTGATCTCTCACCTCTATAAAAAGCGGAAGTTTATGAATGTGTGTAGTTTTATCTGCCCCTTCAGTGCCTATGCCACAAGAAACCTGGTGTTACATCGAACAACACACACAACTTAATAAACTAAATTAGACTAATACAATTATTGTCTGTTGGACATTATCCATTGCCCTGTTTTTTTATTTAAAACACAAAGTTTCAGGGACTGGATTCTCTCTCCGTCTTGAGGTAAAAATCTACTCAGTTGGGCCCAATCATTAGAGCTAGTCCCTATCTCCAGACCTTTAAGAATTCCAGGTAGTTGATTTCTTCGTTCAGTGTGGCCTTTTTGAAATGGTAGAACTGGATCCTATCCCTTAAAAGGGCCTTGCTGGCTCTTAAAGTTATCTTCTCAGTCTATCTGCAGTAGTCTTCACATATTTATAGCACGGGAGCTATACGAGACTCACTGAATCACACACTCCCAACATCACTGTACTACTGCACGCATAAATTCTTCTATTTCCCATGTAAAATTTTCACAGGCTGACCTCTTATTCTCTTCTGAGTTCCTGATTTCAATTCGCTCTGCCAGCTTATGAGTGAATTGTAACAGCCCCTTGAAATAATTCTGCCCTGAATCCGAACTTGAACTCTCCACTCCTAGTTCCAATTTGCTCTATTTGCATGCTTCTGCCATGCTATTACTGCTTCTACGAAAAATTCAGAACTTCGAACTCAGAACCCTGTCATTCATTTATATAGCCGAGGGACGGACATTGACCAAGAGTAAACACATATCACATGACCCCTACCCATTGTTTTGCAGGCATGTATCATGTTTACAGAACTGTTGCCTGACAATGCGCTGATCAAGTATGTCACAATATTTTATCGATTAATAATTACTATAAGTACCATTCTTCACCTTCAATATGGTTCCTTTCCTTGTCCGTACACAGTATATAAAAGCTAAAAGTTTAAAGGAGGAACAACACTGAAATTGAGAAATTGAATTATACTTGTGTAACTGATGTAACTAATAAGAAAATGGGAATGGACAGTCAAGTGTATTCAAAAACTCTAGTACAATACTTGGATATCATTTCAACAGCTTGGCTACGGTATACATATACTGGCATGATTAGAGAGTAAATTTCATACCTTTGGGTGTTCCTTATTAAGTCTGCAGAATGAAATAGGAAGCAGAGAAGCACAAAGCAGTGAAGTTATGTATAATAAGCTAGTTTAGGATTTGTCTGGCAGGATTGAGTGAAATAGCAAATATCTGTCATCAGGGTTGACAAAACTGTGATGTTCCAAAGTAAGTCAAACATTCATATGGCTCACAGAGAAACAGGGTATAAGGAAATGTTTTAGTACCACCTGGCTCAGGATAGTGTCTAGTGGTGAGCTCTTGTGATCATGGTAAATGATACTTGCATATGGATTTCATAACAAGCATTAAATCTGTTAAGTAGCTGACCAACTACTGCTTCTCAATAAGAATCTCCTGCTTGGAGTTGGTTGCACTATTTTAACAGCATATGTCTACGGTCAAGCTGTAAAGAGGTTCATTTCTTTAATATTGTGACATGTTGTGTAACGGAGGACCCCTACCTCCCCAGTGGCACGTGGTGGTAACGTAGCGCTCTCGTTACTATGGTAATAGACGAGTCATCAGCCCGCCACTCTCCCCATGGTGACGTAACGCGCAACGCGCGGCGACGTGCTGAGCAGAGCCGAAGTGAGCTGAGTCCCAGCGCACTGGTCGCTATGCAACACGGATAAACAGTGGTTGCGATAGACGACGGTAGCAACAGTGATGCCTACCATGTGGTTGTTTTCTCGCTGCCCTGCTGAGGGTTTATAAGGGAGCTACACAGCCGCCGACGACAGTTCTCAGTTCACAAGTTATGAGTTACAGATGCGTGTGCGAGAATCAGTTCTCAGTTCGTGATAACCGAGTGTATTTGGAGTGTGTAACTCAGAGAGATTTGTATAGCTCCCGCATTATTAATACGCGAAGACTCTTGATGATTGTGTTAAGAGATCTTGTTGTAGGGTTTGTAAAGTGTGGAAGCCTGTAACATTGTTATAATTAATTGTAGCCATTACTTGTATGTTGTTAAATAAACAAATTAACGATCTGTATGGCATATTCAGTAACGAAACATGTTACAATATCATTACCTCCAAGTTAAAATCTGACTGCCAGTCCTCTAATACTTTGGAACTCAAAATTCTTTTATTGCCTGATTTATAAACCCCCATTACTGAACAAAATAGTGTCACAGGAGCTAAGGACAGTGAGGATCATGGTGCCTGGGCTGCATGCATGTCTCATTCCACAGAAATATTGGGAGTTGCCCCACCTTGGATTGTTTGAGAAACTGCTCAACTGACTCTGAAGACTGAGGTCACCTGAGCACTCACCACTGCAGCACAAACCAGATATGTGAATAGCAAGTGTCTAGTCAGTCGGTGCAGGCAGTGAGCAAGCCAGTGAGTCAGTGAGTCTGCAAGTTAGTGGGTGAGCGAGTAGTCAGTAAGCTCTCAGTTCAGTACAGTTCAGTACATGGGCTTTGGCCATGTAAGGATGTCTTGGAGCATGCAATAAATACAATACAATACAATACAATACAGTGCAGAGAAGTCGAGAGAAGAGGTTAGTGCAGTGACTGAGCAGTGGCATTGCTATAAAGTAATGGGTAAACAGATAACTAATCTCACATTCGTAAGTGGTTATTGGCGGTGTGACAGTAACAGTTACAAACATTGATAAACATTACAATAGATTGATTAAAATCTTATGAGTGAAAACAAACAATATATCCATCATGAAGAATGGTAACACAAATTTCCCACATCTGTCTAAAACATGAGTCATGTAATTTTGTCATTTATATATTAATTTCACTTGAAATCGTATTATTGTTAGTTTGGACAAAAATTGGTCATATATTTCAACCTTCTGCACTTAACAGGACAGTACAGTACAGAAATATCTTAAACTGGTAGACAGAGACAAGTGTTTAAAATCTATTTTTTTCATTGTTTATGTCCACATCCAGAAATGTATCGATAATGAAAACTGGAATATAGCACATGTTCAAAATAAAATATGGGAAAACATTAAACACATGCTGTAAATTCAGAGCAATGCAATGATGCAAACACTGATATGGAATAGAATTTTAATGATATTCATGCCTGATAATTACAAGGTAATTCAGAAAGTGACTACTTGTATGAAAATATTTTGTTCATCTTACCACATGTTGATTTTGTCAGGCTGTGGTAGATGTCGACCAGTCATCCCAGGAGGCAGTTCATCTGCCCATTTCCCCTACATTACACACCATCATGTTATGAAGACACGAGAATGAATGCCAATAAAATGAAAGTCACGTTAATGAAAATTTTTAGTTTACAAAACATGTTTATTGATCCCTTTAGCTTTGTGTGTGCACATTTATGTGCGATTTTTGTGTGAGCATTTGTACGATTATGTGTTCCTGTGTCTTTGTGCATGTGCGCATGCATGCATAGTACTTTTGTCATAAATAAAACAAAGTTTCCAATATATCTTAACACAATAAACATTTTGAATATCCTAATTTATCAAGCTACACTATCATGTGACATCATCATTTACTACTGCACATACACAGAAATAGAGCATTCATTGGTGATGGCATTATTAAATAAGTACATTAACAGAAATATTTTTAATTCATACATATATGGGTGCCTGGTAGAAATAATCAATATTATAATGCAGTACAATATCAGATGCTACTGGCATGTTATAAAAACAAAATAGGCCAATTGAAATCAGTGTTATTACATGAACATAACATCATTTGATAAAGTGACTATAGATGGGGTTTGGATTGGTAATTGGATTTATTAAACTCTTACATATCAGTGACCACAAGTAATCATAAACTTTTCACTAATTTACACACTTTACAGTTCACCAGGGCACACACTTAGGTCTTCTTGGCCCGCTGTGTCTTCACCAGTCTTCTGGTAATAGATTCCAATGGTGGATGTTCTCCTTCCTCTGTCCCTGGCCTCAGCTACTAGCTTCTCACAGCAACTGGATCCCAGTGGTTACCTAACTCTCTTACTAACTCACCAACCAACTCTTCACTGGCTGACTCTTCCCTTGGCCTGCTTATAACATCTTGGCAAGGACCGTGGAGAAAACATCATTCCTCTTGCTGTTTATGGGCCACTACTTAGCAATGACTGTTGTATAGTTGGTTATTTCGTGATTGTTGCCCAGCAACATGTCTACATGCTATACTGCTTCCTCCTTAAGGTGTACTGCCACTTCTTCTTTTTGGAGGGCTGTGCTTGTGCCATCTGTGATTGGCCAAGCCTCTCTTCCCCATGGTGACTACTTTCCAACTACTCCCTCTGCTCCCTCCTTAAGACTGCTCATCCTGAGCAGTTCCCAATAAGGTGAGAGCTGGTCCAGATGTACCACCATCATCATCATCATCTTTGTTTTTTTTTTTTTTCTGAGGGCTATGCTTAGGCTGTCTCTTCTCTCGTTTCAGAGCAGCTGAAGCCTCCACAAAGTCCAGTCATTCACTTCCTGTAGTCTCCTAGTCGAAGACCTGACTATTCGCTTTTCGATCTCCAGCTCTATGGTCTTCCTGAAGATATTATGGGATGTCCTGTCCTTCCTCAGACATAGCTGCCATTTTACGCCATGTTTCCTGGTGCTGTTATTGCATTCTACCCCCTTGTGTCATCTCTTCTTGACCACCGGTCCTTTATGACTGTGGCCCTTACACCGTGCAGGAATGGCACAATGCATCATCCATCTGTGGGTGGCAAACCAACCACTTCTGGGACCCACCATCACCCTGGGTCCATTTCTTCAGCTGTCGGCTGCGCCCTATGGCTAGATGTGAGTCCCCATATTGGATCTCCAGTGCTCTGAAAGTTTCCACCACAGCCTCTTCATTACAGACTTCCTGATGGTCTGCCATGGCCTCAATATTTTCTTCACTGGCCTCCAAATTTGTAGTGTCCATCATGCCCAACATTTTTTCAGGAAACATCCACTGGGGCCTCCATTTCTTCCAGGCCAGCCTTTATCATCTCAGGGTTGGCCTTCGCCTGGTCTAGAGAAGCCTCCACTGCTTCTTGGCAGGCCATCATCTCTTTTAACCAGGCCTTCATTTCTTCCAGTCGGGCACCCATCTTGGCTTTGATTGCATGTCCAGCCTTACCATCATTTCTTCTTGGCTGGCCAACATGCCTTCCAGTATTTGTTCCATCTTGTCTCAGTTCAACTGAATCAGTCTTATCCAACCCAATTCATTTGGTCATTCTAATCCTACTTCTGATACCAGATGTCAAGTGATAGAGTGGTTATACTAGATGGGGTTTGGACTGGTAATTGGATTTACTGAACACTTACAGATCTGTGACTACAAGTAATTATATTCTTTTAAATAATTCACACAAATTTCAGTTCTCTAGAGTGTACACTTAAGTCTTCTCAGCCTGCTGTGTCTTCACCAGTCTTCTTGTAACAGCTTCCAATGGTGGATGTTCCCCTTCCTCTGTCCCCGGCCTTCTCACAACAACCGAATCCCAGCGGTTATTTAACTCTCTCACTAACTCAATAACCAACTCTTCACTGGCTGACTCCTCACTTGTCCTGCTTATAACATCTTGGCACTGACTATGCAGAAAACACCCTTCCTCTGTTGCACCACAACTGTCGCTTGATGGTGGCATGACATATTCCATTGTTGTGGGTGCAGCCATTGGCACAGACTGCACAGAAAACACCATTCTTCTGCTGCTGTTTATGGACCATTAGTTAGCAACGGCTGCTGTATATTTGCTTATTTCGCAGTTGTTGCCTAACAATAGATCTATATGCCACAATATATTGCACAAAAAACTAACTGAATATCTGATATTCAGTGTAAAAATGTGCTGAGTTTAAAAGGACTCTCTGACTGACAGGCGATCTTCAGTTTCTACACAGTTTGAACCACTGAACACCCTTCCATTGTATTTGGAATTCTGCTATTCAGTTATGATTGACAACAGTGACAAATGCAAAAATTATAATAAACACAAAAAAATGAAAGAGATAAAAAGAGAAGAAAACTGAACCTCTTTCAATTTAGAACGCTGCTGCGGTACATACTGAATACAATACTGCAGAGGTTCTCAAACGTTGTGACAACATGACCCCCAAAATAATATATATCATCATCATCTCCTCTATATTAGTCTGTGCATAGATATNGATATATTTTTTTTTATAAAATAATTCCTGGAAACTTTGAATCTGCCTATTCTTTGATGTTCAGTTCTTCAGCACAATATACTTGTATATCCAGAAATGGGTATGATTATTCCTTAAGCATGTACACAAAATTCTAAAGGTGTGATTCTCAAAGGTCTGTATTTCATCATCAAATCTTTCTAAGTGCACTAACTTTCACAAATATAATCTGTATGAATTTTTACAGAATATTGGATCGGTCATATCTTACGTAGTATCTGCCTTCTAAAAGAAGTTATTGAAGGAAAGATAGAGGGGCGGATAGAAGTGACCATAAGACGAGAAAGAAGACATAAGAAGATGCTGGATGACCTTGGGGACAGAAGAGGATATTCTCATTTGAAGGAGAAAGCTCTAGATCATATTAAGTGGAAGAACTGTTTTGGAAGAGACTGAGGACCTGTCGCGTGACAGATTATTGATGAATGAATGAATTTAACAAGGCCAAGCAATTAAAACCAAACCCTCATCCTTTCCCACTCTGTTCAACAAACTCTTTTTGTATATGTATTTAGTGTTACAGCAGAATGTTGAGGGCTATGTAATTCATCTGTATGGAAGAATTCAGGTAACTATTCCTTATAACATTTTTAACTTACAGAAATGCATTCTGAACCAGGGAATATATTTTTTATATTATTGTTTGTTTATACTTCCATTTTCTGGATTCTGGAAACTTGTAGCCTCATAAGTTGTTACTAGCAATGCATAGGAACCTACTGCCCCCATAATGTAGAAGATGGGTGTAGCAGATTCCTCCAAAATCTTTGCAACCATGTCAAGACTAAATACAGAATATCACACCATGAATTTCCCCACTGTGAAAACCTTAGTCTAATACTGATGTCTGTTATTTATTTAATTACACCTTCACATTTCCATAGGAAGTACAGCTCTGAATGACAGCATGATTTTGAATAATGAGCCGGGAAAGATGTGAAAGGAAGCGATAATTGCCTATTTTAAGATATTATCCAGCCAGCCTCGGAGCGAAGAGCTGAACCCAAATTCAGAGTAAGTGGAGTTAACCACTTAATTATATAGTGTTCATTATATTATGTTAATGCCTCTGTCATTGATGTTGACAACAGATTTTACCCAGTTTACAGCAATGGCATTTTAAATATATTCACTGGATGAAGATATTACGTATTCATAACAAAACTATTTAGAAATAAACGTCCATGTTAAGCTGGACAAATGGTGTTCGAACATTACCTCTAATAACTTAATTAGTTTTATGTTTCTGGAAAACCTCACATACCTGATAATAATGAACAAGTGTCTGATGAGCCCACTGCCTTCTCTTTTGGTCCCCAAGGTATTTCTGCTTCACTGCATTGTACAGCATATCATCCCGCCAATGTAATGTGCTTGGGCCATCTACACTTGACCAGAGCAGAAATGGGGCTAGGTACTTGTTGAGTCTGGCCCAGAATAAGCATCCGGGTGCCCACAAAACTGGACAAACAAAAGTCAAACCTTATCAAATAATTGATTTCACCTCTTCAATGAAAACAACTTGGCTGTTCATGACTAAAATATCAGAATTTGGATGTCAATTACGTATTTTTCTTCTTGAACATATAAATACAGTAAACTACTGGTTATCCAGTATCCAGACAATCTCATTCAGCTGGCAAAAATTTCAGAGAAAATTTATGTGACATTACATCCCAGAAGATAAAACTCTTCATAGTCACTGTTGTGAGAAACTCAAATCCAGAATTTACCATTTAAAGTTACTTAAGAAACAAATTTCTAAAGCACATACTGATATGTTCATCTAACATACTGTAACATGGATGGCCAAGCGTTGCTAGGTAACTGATCGTTAAACACCTTGTGACTGAGTACATGCAAGGCAACAATGGAAGTATGGCGTTTTCTATGTGGTTGGAGCCATGACAATTGATAAGCAACGTCATGGTAATCACTTCTCTACAGCAATATAGGCTATTTTCTGCATGGTTGGTGTGGAGGCTATATAATGAGATTCCATACAGAACAGTGTTCAGTGTTTAAGTGACAGTGAGAGAGTTCTCGGCGGAAGAGAGCCATGGAAAGTTCGTCATGTGTGATTTGAAGACTTTAATTATGTGTAATACTGGAGTGATCTGAAGCGCTAATTTCTGTGTTGGGATACGTTACACAGAGAGGACTAGTGTGTGCATGAAACAGTGAATTATGAAGTGTGTGTAAATCAGCGATAGCGCTGTAATTTGACTGTAATTAAAAGAGGTTGTAACCAAAATTGTTAATAAATCCAATCGTTCAAACTGCAACCTGTCATTTTGTTGCGCATACTATCCTACAAGTGACAATATGGCAGCTCTCCCAGCTGCAACCAGCAACACTGCTCATCACCTTCCCTCCTACAGGTGCCATTATAGTGATCATTGATTACAATGGAGATTAGTTAAATTTTTAGTTGTGTTAGAATATAGCTAAAACATTTCACCCATCAATCTGCTATGCATCTAAGGAGACTCCCATGCAAGAGCTGAAGCAAAAACAACTTCTTGCAACTTTGAAATGGAAAATTTAAAATATGCAAGAGATGGGGAAATGGTTAAAGTTGGGTGAAAATTGGATTTCTGTAAGTTTTCATGAAACCAGAAGATTCATGTAACTGCAATACCTCATGCTTTACATGCCAAATAATGGGGAGTTTACTGTACATATTTCTTTTATCTTTGGGACTCAAATTCTAACTTCTATTTCTATACTACCTCTTGAAACAAAAAGTCAATATTCCACTAGTCTTTACATGTTGTGGAACAGCTACATTATGTGGATTTGATTAATCTGCACACTAGTTTTATAAAGGACATGAGGATTGATTGGAGGATGTGAGGGAAATAATAAGTCACTGCATACTCTAAAGTAACAGATTTATTTTATGAATGTTATATTTTAGCGTCCTGTTGCACTGATTTAAGTCCATGATTTATTTAAACCATCTTGTAGTGCATACACTCATTTATCTCCTTCTCTCCCTCGCACTACATGTTTCGGCATAATAATGCCATCTTCAGGTGCTTACTTATCCACGCCAAACTAGTTCATTGCATGCCTTGTTCTCATATTAAAATAACTAAAATATGTATCTATCATATACATTGTCAAACGTTAAAAATATTAAAATTGTTCAGGATACCACATC